GTAAGGGGTTCCAACCCATCTCTGCCTGCTTCCAGGCTCGGCCCTCCCACAGGACCCCAGGGTCTCTGAAACCAAGACTCGGGGCAGCACCTCTTGGGTCCTCCTTTGCTTTTTCATCATTTGCTTATCCAACATTAGCTACACTGGTGGCATGGAGTGAGTGAGACATGCATGGCCCCACTCGCCTGGCAGCTGCACTCCCTGGGAAAGGACAGTCAGCAATCAGGAGTCAGGGCCATCTCCGAGGGGGGTCACATGGTCACATTTAACCCAAGGCCTGGACAGTGAGGAAGAGCCAGCTGTGCCAAGAACTTTCAGGCTGAGGGAATGGCACCTGCAAAGGCCCTTTCCTGGGGCAGGAAAGACACGTGTCTGAGCAATAAAAGGCCACTGTGGCTGCAGAAGGTGAGCAAGTGGGGAGAGAAGGAAGAGGTGAGGCTGGAGGGACCTGGAACAGGGAGAGCCTGCAGGGCCCTAAAGGTCATAAAGGTAGTGAGGCTGTCATCTCCCTGTCTGCAAGGCCCCACCCACCCACCCACTATTCTCAGGGAAGTGGCAGGTGGTGGAGAGGAGTGAGGTAGTCCCAGAACAATTCAAGACGGGATTATACCAAGAGTTAACTTCAATTGAGCATTTGCTATGCAGTGTGCCTGAATCGCCTCCTTTACCTCTGACACTCAGGCACAGAGAGGTTAAGTAACTTGCCTGAGGTCACACAGTTAGGAAGTAGTCAAACCAGGAATCAGACCCTCATGGCCCGACTCTGGAGCCCGCACCCTGCCACTGCACCCCAACACGGCTTGTACAGGAGAATCCCTGGCCGTCAGGCAGTGGCTGTTGAGATGGCAGAGAATGGAGCTGAGGGCTTTGCTCTGCAAATGGCCCTCTTGGGGCAGCTCTTCCTCTGTCATCAATCTGAATCCTGGGAGTGGGCAAAATGCAAGCCAAACAGGAATTAGTGCTCTTGAGAGTCCTGGAGAGACGGACAAGAGTTAGTGAAGGGCCTTCGCCCACCACTTCTGCCCTAGGACACACTGCGACCAGGCACAAACCACAGCCACGGGTCTGTGGGCTCAAAGCAGGCAGCTGTTGGTTAGGCTAGTGCTGGGGGCTTGCCATGTCATTCCAAGTTCGACTGTGAAGCCCAGTGACTGTTATTTAATAACGTTCCAGATGTGTTGGACTTGGCTCTGAAAGGTTTTGTTAACCAGCACCAACAACAAACGAGCCAGCAAATACTGACTGAGTTACTACCTGGAACAGAGCTTCGTACGCTCCTGCGTTTGGTATTGGCAAAGCGCACCGACAACTGGGCTTTGTTAGAGCTCAACGGGAGCCTTACTATTGCCCTGTTCTTCCACACACACGACTTCTATCACGTATTTCAGTAAGTCGAAAGATGGAATGGTCCTGTCCTACGAGACACTGAATACGGGGCGAAAGAGGTAATTTTGGGGCTCCCATGCTGGAGTTTTAGCTCCTCTAAACTCTGAGTTTAAATGATAATACTCCAAACTGGGGTAATGGCTTGATGAAAGGCACCTGTTCTGCATCTGCTCAATTGAATTGAATTAAGTTTTAAACTTGGGTTGGTTAGCAGGTTCCTGGAACATGAAAGAGAATTTAAAGCCACCCAGCTCACGGACACTCCGGCGGCCACCCTCAACCACACAGCCTCGTCCCCACACCCCAAATAATTCTCCTCCAGGCCCCACACAGCTGAGTGGAAGCGGGAGGGCGGAAGCACCCCCTCTCCATGCCACACCGTTCACTGTGAGAAGCGCCTGTCATTGCTTCTCACACTTAATCCTCACAGCCACTCCGTGGGGAGGCACACCCAGCTGTCTCCAAGAGAAAGCACCTCAGGCTGAGGCAGAAGTCGCTTGCCCAGGCCACATGGCTGGTCAGCATCCGAGGGGAGATTTTATTTTATTAATATTATTATTTTTAAAATGTAATTTTTTATTTCAGAGAGAAAGGGAGAGGGAGAGAGACACATCTATGATGAGAGACAATCATTGATCGGCTGCCTCCTACACGCCCCCTACTGGGGACTGAGCCCGAAACCCGGGCCGTGCCCTTGACGGGAATGGAGCCTGGGACCCTGCAGTGGGCAGGTCCACTCTATCCACTGAGCCACACCGGCTAGGGCCCAGGGGAGATTTTACCTCGGCCGGCCTCCCGAGCCCACAAAGCTGTCCCCGGGACCACGCTTTCACGCTTTCCTCAAGAAGTGGCTGCCCTGAAAGCCTGTGACTAAGGAACACCGAGGAACCTTTGGAGCCTTAACCACGTAATCACATGTTCTTTTTACAGAGTTGGTTTCTTTGGAAGGGCTCACAAACACGGTGGGAATTAGCTAATTACGTCTCACCACAGTTATTTCTCCCCGAGAGAAGGGCCAGGCTGCGCTTCGCTGACAGGAACCGGAGGCGGGGGGGCGGCTGTGGCTCTTGCCGGGTCAGCTGCAGAACCAAGCCTGGAACAGAACGGCTCCCGCCTCCAGGACGGTGCTGCTGCCGGCTGCCAGCCCGCAAGGTAGCCAACCCCCGGCTTGCAAGCAGGCACGAGAGAGAACATGTCTGCGGTGTTCCTGCGTGCTGGTGACACACCACTTACCCTGTGGTTATCCAGGGGGAAAACCCTCTCTGGGCAGTGTCGGGACACGCACAGAGAACCAAATCAAAAAAACCAACTTCTGCAGCCTTGGCCTGCGAGCCTCGCTTCTCACCAGTGCCCCCCAGACACCCGGGCTTGGTCGGCTGCTCCAGGCTGGATGAGGAGTGGAGTAGGCATTCTCCCCTTTGGATAACTGCAGCTTTAACGATATCTAAATCTTTATCCTTAATACATCCCACTCCTGCTGTAAACCAATGCTGTAACTTTCCACTGTTATCCTATAAAACCTCCCTAATACCTTGGGAATTATTTGGCCCCTTCAGCCAGGGCACATCAGCCATGAAAATACACATTTGACTCTAGCCCAGGAAAGTCTCTTTTCCACCGAAGTAACTATTTAAAAAAAAAAAAAAGCAGCTTCATATATTGTTTTAATCACTCTCCCTTAGATACTCCTTTAAAATTTCTTCCTGAAAACCTCTAGGTTTCACCTAAAGATCTCTTAGCCACGTGCAGAACCCCCACTCACCCCGCAACACCACAGATGCCGTGTTTCCGCTAAAGCGGGAGGGACACGGCCCGGGCCGCCGCCAGGATAATGGACACGCCAGGCGGTGGATTCGCACCCGTTCGCTTCATTTCTTTTTAGTTTGACAAAAACTGTGGGAACTCCCATTTGTTGCAGGTTTCCAACTGTGCATTTTACATACACTGGCCTCCGGACGGCCCACAAGGTGGATCCCTTTGGCTTGTAAGGGAAGCAGCGACGGGCTGAGGTCATCCGGTCAGACAGGGAGTCTCCCGGGCCCCGGAGTCAGACCCCATCGCCCGCCCCGCCCGCCCCCCTCCGGCCGGTGCGGGGCCCGGCCGCGCGCCCATCGCACCCGCGGGCCGGCGTCCAGCGAGCGGGCAGTTGCGGCCACGCCCCGGCCCGCGAACCCCGGCTCCGTCCTCCCGCCCCCGGCGCCCCGCCTCGGCAGCTGCGGGATAAACAGGCCGAAGTCCGGGCCTCCGGGAGCGGGGCGGGCGGAGGCTTGCGTGGTCTGGGCCCTAACGAGGGACAAGGTCTGGGCGCGGCTTGGGAGCCGCTTCCGGCGCCGGCTCCACCGCTGGGTGCCCCGCAGCGTTTCATTCCCCGAGGGACCCCCCCCCCCCCCGGCGTGTTTGCATTTAATGGCGGCTTTCCCTTTCCCACAGGCGTGTCTCCGGTTTCTTGTCCCTACGGTAAGGGTGGGGAGGTCCCGGCGAGGAACAGACTTCAGAGCGGATCTAGTCCAACCCCCGGAACGAGGAAGCGGGCTCCTCGAGGGAAGCAACTGGACTTTCCCAAGGTCACACCCAGCACAGAGCTGGGGGGGGGGGGGGCGGGGAGACGGTACCCCAACCCTTGGCTCCGAGCGGGGCGCGTCTCTCCACCTCACCTCACCCCACTCCGCCCCGCCCCGGCCTCAGGAATGCTCCCGCCACGCTAGTGTTTATCTGGCCGCCACGCCCGCAGAAACCGGGATCCGTGAGGAACCCGACACCCCCTTCAGCGGCGGCCAAGCCAGCTACTGCTCGGGCCACCCCTCGGGGAAGGGCAGGTCGCCGTCCGCCGCCCTGCCCTCAGCCAACCTCTGGGTCGCGGGGGAGGAGGGGAGCGAGCTCGGCTCCATGTCCCGGCCCCACGACCCCGGGCAGTACCCGGTACAAAAGGCCCGCCAGCCCCGCCCCACCCCTCCCCTCCCCTCCCCTCCCCTCCCCTCCCCGCAGCAGGCCGCACGTGCTGCGCCTCGTGCACGGACTCGGGCCCCGCCCCCGCCCTCCATTGGCTGCTCCTCGATTTCCTCCTCTCTCCTCCTCCCCACGCGACGGGACTCGGCTGGGGCTCCACGTGACCTGCGGAGGCCGGGCCTTGCGGCCCGAACAGGCTCTGTGATAGGTTCCCCCGGCCGCTCCCAGCCCCGCCTCCCTCCAGTGCCGAGTCCCGAAGGTGGCGAGATTGGGATGAGAAGGAAAAGAGAGCGGCCACGATGGTCTGGGAGGAGAGTGGGGGTTACGAAGAGGAAGGCGAAGGCGAAACCTCTGGTAGAAGGGAAGGAGCTGCCGCCGAAGAAGGCCTGCGGCACAGACTCCAGCCCGCGCCAATCAGGTGACCCGGGAGGGCGGGGCGGGGCCTCTGGCGTTGCTCCTCACCTGGCCCCGCACGTGTCTCACTTACCCCGTCAGCCTAACCAATCGCGGCCCAGAAGGCTGCTCCCGCCCTCCTCGCTGGGTGGGCCAATCCAAGGCCACGATCTGGGGACGCTGGCCTGGCCTCATGAATAATGAATATCCCAGAGCTATCCACTGGCGGGCTAGGGATGGAGGGAGGCGGGGGAGCTGTGGGGCGCCTGCGCAGTAGCTGCCCGAGTCGGCAGCTGCGGCGGGTCGCACGGCTCCGGCCTTTCTCGGGGGGCGGGCGGGGGAGGCGAGGCGCGCGAGCGGAGCGCGGAGCACGATGTCCAACACGGGCGGCGGAAAGAAGCCGCCTGTGGAGCCGCAGGCGGGGCCAGGCCCAGGGCCGGGGCGCGCAGCTGGGGAAAAGGGCCTGCCGGGCTCCTTCCCGCTGGTCCTGAGGAAGCTGATGGAGAACCCCCCGCGCGAGGCGCGCCTCGGTGAGGGCGGGGGTCCGCGCGTGCCCGGGGGCGGGGTCTTGCAGGGGCGGGGCCTGGGGAGGGCGGGGCCGGGGAGGTCGGAGGTCCGGGCGCAGTGGTCCAGCTGCGGGGCTCGGGGCCCAGGATGACGGAGGCCCTGGTGGGTGAGGCGGGAAGGATGGGAGCTGGTCGCGGGGCGTTGAGAGCGGTTGGGCCGGACGGGCGTTGGCGGAAAAAGGGTCCGGGAGGAGCAGAGGGGTCGTGGCGAGGAGGTTCTTGGGGGCGCCCTGCGCGCGCGCGAGCTGCCGGGTTCCGAGCAGGCCGGAGCGGGTCGCAGCAGCCCCTTGGGCGACGCTCCAGGGCGCCTTCCCGGGGACCGCTTCCTCGGGACCCCGTGGGACGCTTGTTTAGAATGCCGGCTCCTGGGCGCCGCCCATCGCCCCGCACCTGCAGCTCCGGGGCCAGGCGCCTGCACCTCCAGGAGCCCCCCACCTCCGTGTTCCCAAGTCCACTAAAGTTTGAGGAGCGCCGATTTCCCCGGCAGGTGGTCCTCAGCAGATGGCTTTGCCCCCTGCCGGGAGGAGCACCCGTCTTCCCCCCACCCCTAGGCGCACCCTGGAGGTTTTCTGGAGTGTGTTTCAGGGTTGCTGCTGGGGTGGGGGAGGGTGTCAGGAGAAGGGGTGCCCAGGCACCTTCTGGGGGGGCGAGGGGGGGCGAGGCAGGTGAGGGAGGGAGGTCAGAGTAAGGCCCTTCACCTGGTTTCGGGAGATCGGCCCTGGACCGGGGGCCGCAGTGGCGGAGCTGAGCTTCATCCCCTTCCCTAGGCCACACGGGTCCCTGGGGCCTGTGTGGAGAGCAGGTTCGGCCTTGTTTTTCTGGCCTGGGAACAGGAGGTTCAGGGAGCAGCAGAGCACCGCCTATTGTGGTTTGAGGTGCACAGAGGTCCGCCTTCCATCTGAGACCTTTGAATTCCCAAGACCGTCAGTGTGGTTTAGGGATTTGAGAGGGAACAGGCCTTCTGTGAATTACCTGTCTTGGGGAATTAATTTTCTCTTGTTATATGCCACCTCTTCCTTTCCCCGGTGTGTTCTGAGGCTTCCATTCCTGTGGCTTGTCTCCATTGGGTTATAAATAGCTTCAGCATATCAGGTGAGACCAGGCATTCTCCTCCGGCTTCGGGGACTTCGTGTGCACAGACCCTTTTGTTTTTAAGGCAATGCTTTGTTCCAGTTCTGGGGCTGAGACAAGCCGCTGGGACAGGTATACACATCTGTCAGGTTCTTGTTCAAGATTGCCAAATAAGAGCCATCCATAACAATAATTCTACTTTACGTTAGCAGAATGCTCACAAAGCACTTGGACGGAATTCCTGTTTTATTTACTCTTCCACTGCAGTCCTATAGCATGTTATCCCCACTTCCCAGATAAGGGAAGTTGAAGCTCAGAGAGGAAGGGGGATGCTTCTTCAAGGTCACATAGCCAGGCCTTATAACTCTCAGTCTGGTGCTTTTTACTGTATCACTGGCAACCACTAATGCCAATCCCTGTGACCTCAGTGATGGGCCTAATTTTTTTAAAGTATATTTTGATATTTTACAGAGAGGAAGGGAGAGGGATAGAGAGTTAGAAACATGGATCAGCTGCCTCCTGCACACCCCCTACTGGGGATGTGCCCGCCACCAAGGTACATGCCCTTGACCGGAATCGAACCTGGGACCCTCCAGTCCGCAGGCCGACACTCTCTCCACTAAACCAAACAGGTTAGGGCGAGCCTAATTCTTTATCATCTCTTCCAGTTAAAACAACATTTTCTAAAAATATTGATTTAAAATATCCTTAATTGCTTAGGCCAGGCAAAATCTGGAACTTACTGTTATTTGTCCTTCAGTGTGGCTGTTTTTCTATCTCCTTCCTTCTCCTGTCTCCTTTGATACCCATGACCCTACCCAGTATGGATCTGAACAGAATGTAGGTCAGGATCTCCGGGAGCAGAACAGCGAGGCCATCTGGCCCACCCAGCCCACCAAAGCTTGGCTTTCTTACTTCCCATTTGGTTTTCAACCAAAGCCTGGTACAGAAAACAGTTGCAAGAATTCAGGTTAATTTGTCTTAGAAGCCATTACCAAATTCTGTTTGTCAAAACCTCCACCTTCTTAACCCACTGGTGTGTCCATTTTTATTGGACCAATAGGCTTCTTTTTGGCCGGCTAAGGTCTGGGAGTCCATGCATGACTGGTTATTTCCACCATAATTATATTTGATTTCTCTTTTTCACTTCAGAATCCAGAGTTCAAAGTTGTCTCCCTCAATTTGAAAACCCAGTATGAACTTGTCATGATTTTATCTCCCACTTCCCCGATTATCCTCCCTGTCACTTTGATTTCCTTTCAACAGTGTCACATTTCTCTCTTGTCTTTTTTTCCTAATTTGCTCTTTCTTTAATATCCACACAGGTAACTTGTTGACTGAGACAATTGAGGTGAGATCCAGTCCCTGCTAATTTATTAGTTTTGCTTTGAATGGGAGCAAGCTTTCTTCTTCAGTTCTCCCTCCTCCTTCCCAGAAAACTTGCCATCAGTCTTCTCTGCTTATTCAGGAATAAACTTCTCTTGAAATTGTTGCTCTGAAAAGGTCCTGAAAAGACAGCTCCGGCATTCTTCATTCAGTATGCAAATTTTCCCATAGCCCATGGTCAGCCTGCTCCTGTGTTGGACCTGAAATGTAGAAATGAATCAGACACAGAATCAGTGAGTTCACTGTAGTAATGAATACCTGTCATTTGCCAGGAACTATATAAGACACTTGCATATGTTATCTCTAGTCTACACACCAAAGCTTTATTTTTATATACAATGGATGACACTGAGGTTGGGAGAGGTTAAATACAAAGCTAAGTTAACACACCACAGCAGCTGGTTGGCAGAAGTGGCATTCGAGCCCTGGGCTGAGTTGCTGTGGAGAAGCATATCTGGTAGGGACAAGACAGGAGAAAACACAAGTTCTTGGCCTGAGGAATCACCCTTTCCTACCACAGGGATAAGATATCAGGAAGACTCAGAAATTCCATTTCCTTCCTGTAGCCTCTCTTTTCCAAATGCTAATTCCACAGCCCATTCTGAACCACATTAAGCCTTAGAACTTGTGGCGAGCATTCTGGAAAGCCCAAGCGTGGATAAGGACATGCTGCCATCTCTAAAGGAGACCAGTGGGCCTGGGTCAAGCATCAGGTTATAATGAGAACACAGTGGGCTCTTGAAATGCATGGGAAGGATCAGGACGCGAGAGCTGGGCCAGCCCTGTGAGGCCCACTGCTCCCCTCTTGGGGTTGAATTACCCTCTTGTGTGGTGTCTCATCACAGATTTTGTGTCTGCAGATAAGGAAAAGGGGAAGGAAAAGCTGGAGGAAGACGAGGCCGCAGCAGCCAGCACCATGGCCGTTTCAGCCTCTCTCATGCCACCTATCTGGGACAAGACCATCCCATATGATGGCGAGTCCTTCCATCTGGAGTACATGGACCTGGACGAGTTCCTGCTGGAGAATGGCATCCCTGCCAGCCCCACCCACCTGGCCCAGAACCTGCTGCTGCCTGTGGCCGAGCTAGAAGGAAAGGAATCGGCCAGCTCTTCCACAGCATCTCCACCATCCTCTTCCAACGCCATCTTTCAGCCCTCTGAAACTGTGTCCAGCACAGGTTGGTGACTAGCCTTTGGGCAGGGCCACCTGTCCTATCTAAGGAAGTCCATTTCCCACTGAAGGCTTCTTGTGTCTACACACGCAGTGAGCCCCTTCTCTCAGGGAGGTCCTGGTGGGCCTGCAGTGTGGAGAAACCCTCTGCTCCCCACCCTTCAGCACGGTCCCCAAGACTAAGGAAAAAATAGCAGTCACATCGGTTTTGTCAGAGCCTTTCTGTTGGTTGGTGTGCTGCAAATGGTCAGGACAGTAGAGCAAGATCTTCCAGTCTGAGGTTCTGCAGGGTAGAAATCCCATTCTGCATTTTATCAGCACAGCTCTTTACCCCCCACCCTCCACTCATGCACTTTGCCACAGATTATTGGGAAGCTTGGGTAATAATAATAATAATAATAATAATACCAGCTAACATTTATTTAGCACTTACTCTGTGCCAGGCATTAATATGTAATCCTCACAACAACCTTATGAAATTGGTAGTATTATCTGTGTGTTATAGGTGAGAAACTGAGAAGTTAAGTAACTGGCCCAAGGTCACACAGCTGGTAGGTAGTAGAGGCAGCACTTGAACCCAGGATGTCTGACTCCATAGCCAAGTACTGCTTAGGAACAGGCACGAAGAAGGCATCATCTTCAGGATTTCTCCTTAGTCCTCTTGTCCTTTTTCTGTTTTACCTCTGGGGGTTGGTTAGTTGGTTATTTGGTTATTTGGTTTTCATGCCACTTGGACATGAACCCTCCAGAGGACCAATGACCCCTGTTTCAGGAGTCTCTGCAAAGCTTTCTTTAGGCTCAGTTAGAGGCATGCAGGCTGATGGCTCCTGGAAGGACCCCAGGCGCTGGTGTGGAACCCAGGGAACCCACACCCAAAGAATTCTCATGCTCTGTTTTTTTAATTTTTTTTTTTATTTTAATCATCACTGAGGATATGTTTTTATTGATTTTTTTAGAGAAAGAGGAGGTGGGGGGAGAGAGAGAGAGAAACATTGATGTCAGAGAGAAACATTGATTGGTTGCCTTCCGTACACGCCCTGATCAGGAATTGAACCTGAAACCTTTTGGTGTACAGGACAACGCTCCAGCCAACTGAGTAGTGTTCATGCTCTGTTTTGTTTTGTTTTAATTTTACTTTTTATTATGGACAAATTTTCAAATACAAAAATAAAAAACTAATGAACATCCATGTAACCATTCAGCTTCCATAATTCTTAATTTATAACCTATCTTGTTTTCTGTAACCTCTTCCATTCCCCACTTAATTATTTACAGTCAAATCCTACATATTATTTCAGCCATAAATATTTCAGTAAGTATATAAAATACAAAGGTTCTTTTTAAAAAGTAGCAAAAACACCAATTTTACATCTGAATTGGACAATAAACTCATCAGCATTCAAATTTTGAAAAAGTTATCTCATAAATGCTATTGTTTTGCAGTTTGTTTGAATCAGGATCCAAACAAGACCCACACATTCCATTTAGTTATGCCTCTTAAATCTCTAGTAATTTATAGGGTCCCCTCTCTCTCTCCTTTTTATTTTTTCTTTGCAATTTGTTGAAGAAATGGAATCATTTATCCTGTAGAGTTTATCACATGCTGTTTTTTTCTGACTATATCCCCGTGGCCCCATTTATCATGCTCCTCTACACCTTGATTTTCCTCTTGTAAACGGGTTAGAAGCTTCAGCTGATTCCAGCCAAATTCTTGTTGAAGGCAGATCATTTTTGTGCTGATTGGGTTGTCCTAGAGCAGTGATGGAGAACCTTTTGAGCTCGGCGTGTCAGCATTTTGAAAAACCCTAACTTAACTCTGGTGCCATGTCACATATAGAAATTTTCTGATATTTGCAATCATAGTAAAACAAAGACTTATATTTTTTATATTTATTTTATATATTTAAATGCCATTTAACAAAGAAAAATCAACCAAAAAAATGAGTTCGCGTGTCACCTCTGACACGCGTGTCATAGGTTCGCCATCACTGTCTTAGAGGGCTGGTTTCATGTGTGGGTAGGGAGCAAAGTTGAGCCCCCATCTTGTACCTTGGACCACCTATGTAACATTTTCCTTTGATTTTGTTTTTAAGTAAATATTCTTAAATATTGTTACGGCCAAAGGTGAGCCTGGGCGGGGGGGGGGGGGGGGGGGGGTGTGAAAGGATTGAGAAAAGACAGACGAGAATGAAAGCTGGGTCTCGGTGGGATGCTGCTCCCTAATGCAGAGACAGCGCCAGCGCCCACAAGCCGTGTCTTTATTTTATAGCAGATGCCACGAGGCAAAGTAGGGACGTGATCACGTTGTTTACAGCATTCTCGTGAGTTTCAGCCTCACTCAACTACATGCACCTGAACTCTATCACAAGGCACATGGGGCTACATGTTGGGACCATCGGTTCAAGCTTACAACTATAGTTGTTGGCTATAATTGTGCTGGGAGGGCCCTGCCCTCCAGCTGGGACTTGCACATGGCAATGAGAGGACCCTGTCCTTTCATTAGTCCGAGGCTTGAATCTGGCCAAAACACTGTAGCCGCACCCCACAAAATATGGTGCACAAAGGTACCCACATCATAAGTATACACCTCAATGAATCTTCACAAAGTGACTCCCACCCAAATCAGGAAATAGAATATTATTGGTGTTCCCAAAGTGCCTTGTGACCCCACTCAGTCATTACTCCCCAGAGGTGACCACTATCTTTATTTCCATCACCAAAGATTCCTTTTCCTTGTAACTGAACATTCTATAAATGTAATTGTATATTATGTCCTCTTTTTTGTTTTTAACTATTATATGTTAGTTACTTTTATACTTGCTTACATTGATAGCTTTCTGTAGCTAGCTTTATAGCTACAGACGTAAATTATGTGGGCACCAAATCTCCTTACACTAACAACATAGATTTACAGAACATGCTTATGGAATACTCCTGTAACAGAGAAAAACCAACTTTGTTTATGAGAACCGTTCATGTTGTTGCCTATAGCATAGTTTGTTCATTTTCATTGCCAAATGGTGTTCCATTGTCTGACTATACCACAGGTTTCCATTCTACAGCGATGGACCTTTTGGTTTGGGGTTATGCATAGCAATGCCATGAACATTTGTATACATATCATTTGGTAAATATATGTGTACATTCGAGTAGTCATTTACCTAGGAGTAGAGTGGCTGCGTCATTGGACATATGCATATATTCAGCTTTTATAGATACTACCAAGTACTGTACAATGTTGTTGTAGCCATTGATAACTCCCACCAGTGGGGTATGGGTGTTCTAGGTGTCAGCCTATGGTACCTTGAACAAGAAGGCAAAAGGTCTATGTCTTTTTTAGTTTTATTTTTTTAATATGTGTTTATTGATTTCAGAGACTGCGAGAGAGATAGACACATCAATGATGAGAGAAAATCATTGATCGGCTGCCTCCCGCATACATCCCACGGGGGATCGAGCCCACAACCCGGGCATGTGACCTGACCAGGATTCGAACCATGATCTCCTGGTGCATAGGTCGATGCTCAACCACTTACCCACACCGGCTGGGCAACCTTTGAATTCTGAAAGTGCCTTAAATCCAATGTCCACTATAAAATGGCAGCCAGGTAGGACAGAGGCGAATGATTCGGAATCAGCAAGAATCAGACTCAAATTTTAGTTCAGTCTCTTACCTTCTATGTGACCCTGGGAAACCCATGTCCTTTCTCTGAGCCTTAGTTTCCTCATCTGTAAAATAAGGTTAATACCCATCTTGCTTTCAGAGTTGTCATAAGACTAAATGAGCACTGCGACTGATAGGTCTCTAGGGAGTCCATTGTGGAAGCCGTTTCATTATTCAGCCTGTCCCCAACCCATATGGTTCACGGAGGTTCAGCTGTTTCTCATTACTTCAGAGCTTGAAACCACAGGAAGTTAAGGAGGGTAATGATTTCATGTTTTGCTTAATATTTCAGGGAGGGGGGAGGCGGGGCTGAAAACCCTGTCTTTTTCAAGGGCCTCTGTTTCCTTTTGAATATTTTATTCCTAAAGGAAGTATTTATATTTTCTATGTTTGTGTTGTTGATCTGAATCTCATATGCCAGGCTAGCTTGGGGATTGGTCCCTCCAAGTAGCAGTGGCTGTGCAACATGGAGCTTCACGCAGGTATCTGGGTGTGACATAGGTCTTTGCTGTCCAGTGACTGCTTCAGGACCACCTGCCTCTGTGTCTTTCAGAATCCTCCCTGGAAAAGGAAAGGGAGACACCCAGTCCCATTGACCCCAGCTGTGTGGAGGTGGATGTGAACTTCAATCCTGACCCTGCCGACTTGGTCCTCTCCAGTGTGCCAGGCGGGGAGCTCTTCAACCCTCGGAAGCACAAGTTTGCAGAGGAGGACCTGAAGCCCCAGCCTATGATCAAAAAGGCCAAGAAGGTCTTTGTGCCCGATGAGCAGAAGGTAATCTGGTGTCTGTATAAGGGAAGGTAGAGCATTGGTTCAGGAGCCGAGGGCTGCGCTTCCTCACGTTTGATTTTATCTGGAGGTTCCTCCCTCCTGTGGACACCATTTAGAAAGGCATGAGTTCAGAGCATAGGGCCATACCCTTCCTGCAGCAGCTGGTAGAAAGAAAGGGAGTCAAGTCGCATTTGGCCCCAGCGTGACTCCCTGTGGCTTCTCTGTTTCCTGACTGGCTGCTGGCTGTGTTGATGTTCTTGCTTCTCTGGCTGTAGCCCAGCCTGGGCCACAGAAACTGGGCTGAACAAGCCCTCGCTTTGAAGGACAAAAGACAGTTGTATTGTTACCACCCCAGGGAGGAGCAAACAGCTTTCAAGCTGATGGTTTTATAGGAGTTGGGGTGGGCAGGGAGAGGAGCATTCTGTAGTTTTTCCATCCTTTCCTATGGAAAACTCACAGGAAGGGCTTTACATCCAAGCTTTGGAGTTAGGCAGAGCTGGGTCCAGACCCCACTGTGCCACCTAGAACTACCTGGGCCTCAGGTTCCTCATTTGTAAAATGGGAACAACTGTACCTGCCTCTCAGGAGGTTACTGAGGCTTTCATCATGATGATGATGAAAATGTAAACCTTTCTGTGTTCCTTACTGTGAGAAGCACTTTGCACACATTAACTCATTTAATCCTCAAACAACTCTATGAGGTAGTTATTGTTACCCCCATTGTAAAGATGAGGAACCTGAGACATGGAGAGGTTAAGGAACTCTCATGGTTCCACTGCTGGTAAGGAACAGAGCCAAGACTTGAACTCAGGAGACTGGACCTTAGCCATAACCAAAATGACTGGGCGGCAAGGTGTAGATCAGGGGTCCTCAAACTACGGCCCGCGGGCCACATGCAAATACAAATATTGTATTTGTTCCCGTTTTGTTTTTTTACTTCAAAATAAGATATGTGCAGTGTGCATAGGAATCTGTTCATAGTTTTTTTTAAAACTATAGTCCGGCCCTCCAACGGTCTGAGGGACAGTGAACTGGCCCCGTTTAAAAAGTTTGAGGACCCTGGTGTAGATAGTGCTTTATGTTGGAGCAGCACAGAGCAGGCTCCCAGTAAGTTGAGGCCCCTTCCCTCCACTGCTTCCTCCCAGATGGCTGTTTCTCATCCTGACAAAGGGGAGGGCCCCTGGCTGTCCTTGGCACATGCATCTTCTTTCCTGGGTCCCGCTTCTGTTCTGACTGCACCAGATGAGTAATAAGAGGAATCTGGGGTATGGCTTGCTGGCAGGAGAGAGGCTCTTGAACCAATGCTGTACTTTCCCCTTGTGTGGAAAGAGGAAAGACTAACAGAGGAACTTCCCCACAGGATGAAAAGTACTGGACAAGACGCAAGAAGAACAATGTGGCTGCCAAACGGTCCCGGGACGCACGGCGCCTGAAGGAGAACCAGATCACCATCCGGGCAGCCTTTCTGGAGAAGGAGAACACGGCCCTGCGGACGGAGGTGGCTGAGCTACGCAAGGAGGTGGGCAAGTGCAAGACCATCGTGTCCAAGTATGAGACCAAGTACGGGCCCTTGTAACTCATGCCTCGCCCAGGCTGCGCTGCCTACACCCAGCCTCTGCCTGAGGGCTCCCTGAAACCCCACACACATGTGGAGACTTAGGACTCCTCGAGGGCCAATGGCGGCGCACCTGCTCCAGGAGTGGTCACGTTCGAGCTTCATTATCACATGGTCAGCGCACGTGGCAACTTCCCTAGGGGGCCAGCCTCCTCGCTGGTGAAGCCGCGAGGGAATCGACGTAGACGGGTGCATCAGCCTTAGTTTCTATTCTTGGATGTCCCAATTGAATCAGAAGGGGGCCTCTGGAGGACAGCTCTCCTTTCCCAGGGGCTCAGGCTGCCCTGACTCTCCCTCGGTCTCCACAGAACGAGTCCATCATTGTCGCGTCTTCTCAGGTAGCAGGGTGTGTTTCCAGGTGGACTGTCCGTGGTCCACCTCACCCTCCCCAGAAAGTTTGAGAGAAGCATCCATTTCCATCTCCCTCAGCAGTAGAAAGACACGCCTGCTCCTCCATAGTTTCTGCATGGGTACCAGCCCACCAGAGCCGGGTCTCTGCAGCCTGGGATGGGGTTTGGGTCTGCAGCCTGCAGCCTGCAGCCGAAGTGCACCCAACCATTCTTAGCTCTCACACCCCTTTACTCTGTGGCTCCGAGGCCTGGAAGCCCGGGAGGAGGTGCTGGCAGTCGGCTGTCTGTTTTGTCTGCTGTGAAGGAGACTCCCAGGTTGGCCAGACTCTGAGCCCTAATCACAGTGCTGAGAGGGGCTTTTGCATCTCCTCTTCTCCAGGTCACTTGTGGATACCACCTGAATCTTGTTTGTCCTCCTAGACTGGGCTTCTAGGCCTGTTTCTCTTCACCCAGTGATCAATCTCAGATCTTGGATTTAAAAGGAACACCCCCCTCATCTACGAAGCTTAATTTTCTGGAGACAGGATGCACCTTCTGCATGGTGTTCAGAAAACCAGCCTCCACAGCCCCTTACACTGCGGGCAGGGAACTGGGCCATTTGTCTCCATTTTGTCTTGCTCTGTTCTCCGGTGTGGGCCAGGCCAGAGGAAAGAAGAAGAGGGCTTCCCAGTTCTTGATTCAAGATCCCTCCCTGTGCAAGCTGCCTAGAGCCACCTGCTGGGCAGGACAGCCGGCCAGGGTCCCAGCACAACTCATGGAACAGCCAGTTCTCGGGACATTTATCCACTAGAGTCCCCTCAGCTGGGTCCCTGAAGATGTGGGCCACCCACACAAGCCTGGCCGTGGTATGTGGAGGGGTCCTTGCAGCTGTGGCTCTACCTCACAGCTGTTTTCTCTTGTGTCTGGCTGGACTCGTCCTTTTGCTCCGCCCAGGAGACTCATTGAGGAAATCTGGAACACACTGTTCCTTGTGGCCAGCCGGGGCACCTGCAGATAGGTGCATTTATTGGCTCAGGGCCAGGCAGCCTGTGGTTAAGAGGGGTCAGAGGTGACGAGTACATTTTGTCATGTTTTCCACTGGCTTTATTTAAAGTGGTAGCTCCAAGACCCAGGCTCTGACCCCTACAAACTTTATATAACATGTTAAGACCCGAGGACACCATCCACTGGCCGTGGACCGCACCCAGGGGAACACCATGGTCCTCTGGGGACCTACATACCCACCTCTCCTGGGGACTTGACAAGGCTGCCTGATGCCAAGGGAGGTCACTGACTCCCTATAGCACCCTGACTTTTATTTTGTGGTTCTATAAAAACCATGTTCACACTTTTCACTCTATTGTAACCACAACAGGGCAGTCACATCTGGCATGTCAGTGTCCTGCCCTGGGCAGCTCACCCGCCCAGGCACTCGCCCTCTGGTCTGGAGACCCACCAAGAGGGCAGTTCTCATTTTGTTATTAGTAGAAGAGCTTCCAGTGTTAAAGCTCTTCATTTTCTTTGGCCAGAAAGTGTATGGTTTGTGTGTTTGTTTGTTTTTAAAAGAATGGAGACTTAATCTCTGAATGGTGTCCATGTTCTGATCCTCATGGGTGGGATAATGGCCTGACATCTCCTCTTTGTCCCACCTTCTGCCTGTTCAGCCCTCCCCTCCTTCCCCCCAGGCAGTGGGCGGCTGGTTCCTTCCCAAAGTGCTTACTTGGAAAGAATGTGGCTGCTGTCCTCTTCTAGAAGAGCCCTTTGAGTCAGGACCTAGCAGAGACAGGAAGGAGATCTCCATGAAGGTGGACATGTGGGGAAAGGAGTGCTCAGGGAAGCGTGTCTCTTTCCCAGGCCCATGAATCAAGTCCTTTCAGGGGAGGGTTGGTGCCTGCTAGTTTCCATCATGGAATTGGGAGTCTCCTTGACTCTCTCCTGGCCCCTCTCCATCTTGGGGCTGACAGCCAAATACTGAGACTCCTTTGCTCAAATCTTTGACATCTCCAAAAAAAGAACTGGAGGCCAGAGGAGCCAAAGTAAATGGTTTTCCGGGGTTTGTGATGGGCTGGGAAGCCCCATCCCTTCCTAAGCGCCCTGTCCTCAGTTTCCTGGCAGCTTTGTTGCAACCTCAGAACAGACAAATCATGAATGAGCTAGAATGGTGCAAGAATGTAATACATGTATATCTAGAAACAGAAATATATATATTGAGAGAGCTTTCACAATGGACAGCAACCTGTGGAGGACCTTGGTAACTGTTACTTTTGGCCAAAGGTAGGTAGGGGTTTGCTTGTCTGGATCCTGAGTTTGGAGAAGGCACTTAGCAGTGAACCTTGACTGGTAAGTGTCACCCTGCTGAGTGGCTGCTGGGACGGCTGCAGTCCTCCATCCTGAGGCTGGGTGGTAGGCCTGGGAGCCCGCAGAAGAGGGCCCCTTTGTGCTGGGCAGCTCCCTACCCAGGCCCTGCGAGCTCTGCTTCACGTAACACAAAGGGCCAAAAGCTCCTTTATCATCTGTTAATTAAGTGCAATAAATTTTTCTGGAAAATGGCAAAGATGACTTCCAGGTGGATGTTGCTATTTTGTGGTGTTGGGGATGCCAGATCACCACTTGGTTTTATTTTTCTAAGTGCATGTGATGTGACAGAGTGTGTGGGGCTCTGCATCCTCCCTTGGGAGCTGGGATTCCAGTGAGACCCTTTTTCTTACCTGTGTTGGGGGAAGGAGGCAAGGAGAAAATTCCTTCTTCCCAGCTGGCAACAGCAGTAGCAGACCACAGCCCGTTGGCCTTATATGCATATGTGCGTGCGAGTGTGTCTCTGCTGGTGGGCGGAGTGATGTGGCAGAGAGGGGAGCTGGGAATGTAACTGTTTCAAAACAAAATTAAATATTTTGAGGTGAGAATTGTGGAGCTGTCTTTTCTGTCCTCCTCCCCTCTGTCTCCTCTGTGTGCACGTTGGCCTAGGACAGTGGTTCTCAACCTCTGGCCCTTTAAATACAGTTCCTCATGTTGTGACCCAACCATAACATTTTTTTCGTTGCTACTTCATAACTAATTTTGCTACTGTTATGAATCGTCATGTAAATATCTGATATGCAGGATGTATTTTCATTGTTCACGACCCACAGGTTGAGAACCGCTGCATTAAGGGGTGATGCCATAGGGTGCACCACCCGTGGCAGTGCCCCTGCAAGTCCCCCTCCCCTCTTCCAGCTCCACCATCTTGTCATTCTTCTCGCTCTGTTGCCTGGAGTGTGGAGCCCAAGTGTCTTCCTCGGTGCAATCTGGAAGGGCTGCCTTCTTACAGCCAAGGCTGCTCTGTCCTGTTCCACCACCCCCCTTTGACACTGCATGGTGTTGGTGCTCAGGCTCCCTGTTGCTTGAGGGGCCAAGAACCACTTGTAATTCTAAGGAGGAAGACACATATTTGGAGGTTGGAGACAGGCTGGCAAGATGGACTTTTATTATTTTTTAATCCTCATCTGAGGAGATGCTTTTTATTGATTCTAGAGAAAGAGAGAGGGAAACATCGATGTGCGAGAGAAGCATCGATCAGCTGCCTTCCGCACATACCTCTATCAGGGATCAAACCCACAACCTGGGTATGTGCCCTGACTGGGAATTGAACCAACAACCAACTACGCCACCCAGGCAGGACAAGGTCAACTTTTTTAAATGGCCATTTTACAAATAAGCATCGAGGCTCAGAAATCAGAGTAATATGCTCCAAATCACAGCTGCTGAACTAAAATTCATACCCAGAGTGGGTTTCAAATCTTCAAATTGCAATTCCCCAAACAGTAACAGCAGGCAGACTGTTCCCAGCCTGGGATCAGGGTAGTGTCTCATATTCCGCCTCCTTACAGCTTACAAAGCCTACAGCTCAGCCTCCCCCTCATTCTAGCTCCGGAATTTTGAGCACCTATGACATCCTTATCTGTAGAATGGGACACCGTCCTCACAGGTGCTCAACACATGTAGCTGCCACTGTGGCCATGATGTAGATGGAACTGACCTACCTTGAGATGAGCCCTGCAGACTTAACAGCTGTGGGTCCAGCAGACAGCGGGATGCAGCCAGGTTCCAACCAGATGTGTGGCTGGTTTGGGGCAAGTCCCACCATCTCCCTGAGCTATTTATCTTTACAATGTGGATGTGCTGCTCAAATGTGTGAGTACCAGACACAATTCAGCTCTTCTTCTTACCTCCCAGCTCCCTGGAGGACAAATTTTCCAGAGCACAGGCCCCCTTCCTTGAGTGTTCCCATCTACCAGACAGCCCTCATACACCTCCCCTGACGTCAGCAGCTAATCCGGGAAAGCTGCCAGGCTGAGAGAGGGCGAGCAGCAAAGGAAATCAGAAACAGGTTTCAGGGTGGGTGCCCCCAGCCAGCCCCTCCTGTGCTCTCATCAGCTTCTCACTTCAGCAAAGCCTCCCAACCATGCAGGCTGACACCTGGGCCCAGTGGAGCAGGAGCCTTTTATTGTGAGCAGTTTCTCTGTCGTCAGGAGCTGGGGCTGCACAGTGCGCCATGCTCAGCCTCCCCCAACTCTGAGTCTGCAAGCTTGGGTGGGGCATCCACTTGGGCCTGGATTCCAGGCCGACTCCAGTCCGGACTCAGGGGCAGAAGGGTGAGTGGGTCCTTGGTGCTGCTCCAAGGCCCAGGCTGGTCCCATGTGGGCTACAAAGAAAGCAGCGGAAGAAGGGATCTCAGCCAGTCCTCAGCCTGAGGACTTCCCCACTGCTCTTCTGTCCCAGCCCGTCAGCACCCGAGGGTGGGCCTCTCCATTTTATAGAGGAAACCGAGACTTTGTAAGGTCTTAGGTGACGTGCCCAAGCTCTCACAGCTGCTACATATCAGAGCTGGGATTCTAACGCAGGCCTGGTGGCTCCTAAGCCCAAGCTCTTTCTGCCATCTCGGCGATCTCCTGACCTAGGTGCTGGTGCTGCCTGGACCTGTCCCCCACCCTCCACCTCCCTTTGGCCAGCAGAGATCAGCCAGCCAAAACAGCCAGATCAGTGCCGATCTGACATCTTCCATGGGCTGCCCTAGCCACCCTGGCCAGCAGCAACAAGGCCCAGCCCAGCAGTGGGTGGTGGGCAGGAAAAGACTGACATTTGATGCTGGGCCGGGACCTGCACGGTAACTGCGTTTGACAAATGTGGAAACAGGTTCGGAGGAGACGTGTTTTCCCCAAGACCACACTGTTTCTCCACCCCACCCTCCTTCCAACCTCTTCCTTGGTCCCCACACAGCCCTGGACCCATCTCTCTCTCTTCCTCCTCATGCCATTTCTCCCCTTGGGTGCCAGGGTCAGAGGCTTTGGACAACAAAGACCTTAGACGTTACCACATCCAGCCCTAGATGGTTTGGCTCAGTGGATAGAGTATCAGCCTGGGGACCAAAGGCTGGTACAAGAGGCAACCAATCGATGTGTTTCTCTCACATCGATGTTTCTCTCTGTCTTTCCCTCTCTCTTCTACTCTCCCTAAAAATCAATGGAAAAATATCCTCAGGTGAGGATTAACAAAAATAAAAAATAATAATAAAATAGAAAAGGGTTCTCTCTCATCATGGATGTTTCTCTCTCTCTCCCTTTCCCTTCCTCTCTGAAATCAATAAAAATAAAAATAGAAAGACCCAGCTCAGATGCCTCCATATCCAGAAAGTCCTCCCTGGTGCCACCCCCGCTGGGTTGGTTGATCCTCGAACTCATAACATTCTAATCTTTTTGAAAATATATTTTTATTATTGATTTTAGAGAGGGAGAGAGAGGGAGAAACATCAATAATGACAGAGGATCATTGATGGCTGCCTTCTGCACACCCCCACACTGGGGATCGAGCCCCTCAACCGGGGCATGTGCCCTGATGGGGAATTGAACCGATACCTCCTGGTTCACAGGTCGATGCTCAGCCACTGAGCCACACCGGCCAGGCTTGCTGTGTTTCTCCTTGCTTTGGGCCTAGTTTCCCCTTCTAGCCTCCTCACAGCAGCCATTTAAAGTTTAAACCATCCACTCTGGCTGGTTTGGCCCAGTGGATAGAGCGTTGGCCTGTGGACCGAAGGATTCCAGGTTGCAGGCTTGATCCCCAGCAGAGGACGTGCAGGAGGCAGCCTATCAATGATTCTCCCTCATTACTGATGTTTCTATCTTTCCCTCTCCCTTCCTCTCTGAAATCAATAAAAATATATTTAAAGTTTAAACCATCCATCATAGTCTGTGGCTCTTCATCACACTCAGAAATAAGTCTAAACTCCTCACTGCAGCCCAAAAGCCCTGTGAGACCTGGCCACCACCCTGGTCCACTCCCCACCCCTACACCCCAGCATCCAGGTCTAGTCATGTTGACCCCTCTGCTCCTCTTGCGTTACACCCAACTCCTCACCTCAGAGCCGTCGTACTTGCTGTTCCGTCTCCTAGGCAGTGATGGCGAACCTATGACACGTGTGTCAGAGGTGACACGCGAACTCATTTTTTTGGTTGATTTTTCTTTGTTAAATGGCATTTAAACATATAAAATAAATATCAAAAGTATAAGTCTTTGTTTTACTATGGTTGCAAATATCAAAAAATTTCTAAATGTGACACGGCACCAGAGTTAAGTTAGGGTTTTTCAAAATGCTGACACGCCGAGCTCAAAAGGTTCGCCATCACTGGCCTAGAGTGATGTCCCCTGGACCTTCTCAGCCTAGCCCCATCCTCAGTGCAGGGCCGCCCAGTGCTGGACATGTAGTAGCTGCTCACTAAATACCTGC